TTTTGGTACCAGGGACCGAACTCAGGTCCTTGCGCTTGCACAGCAGGCAGTGAAACCACTGAGCTAAATCCCCAGCCCTAAATTTTCCTATTCTTAAAAAAAGAGAAAGAAAAAGAGCTGGAAGTTGGGTACAGTGCCACATGTCTATAATCCCAGCAAGATCACAAGTTCAAGCCCAGCCCAGGCAACTTAGTGAGGCCCTGTTTTGAAAACAGTGAAATAATTTAAAATTATTTATATAATTATATAATTCATAATATATAATTATATATAAATTATAATATATGTATAATTTTAGAGACAGGGAGAAAGGGGGAGGGAGGAAAGCAGGGAGGGGACCTAGAAGGATGAAGGATGCACTCAAAAAGCTGTTGAGGGTATTTAGGTTTGGGGACAGGAGTGGGAAGAGGGGAACATGTTCTGCAGGTTGCTCTGTATATTCCTGTATTGTTTGGCTTTTACAATAAAATTTTGATTATGAAAGTAATTTTAATTAAATACAATATTAAACAGACAAGATATGGACCAATGCAAGGGAATGTGCAGAAGGTGCTGAGTAGGGGAAAATGAAATCCTCAGGGTTAGAGAGGTCCTGGGCAGCTTTGTGGAAGAGGTAAACAAGCTAGATCTTGTAGTTGGTTTTTGTTTTTTAACAAGCAATAAATGGAGTAAAGGCAGGGGGCCAGATGTTTGGAAAAAATGAATGGACTGCCAGGCGTGGTGCCACATGCCTGTGATCCCAGCACTCAGGACGGTGAGGCAGGAGGATCACAGTGAGTTCGAGGTCAGACTGGGCTACATATTGAGACTAAAACAGAATGGACTAGGTTTGCAAAAGTAAGAGATTGGCCAAAAGAGGTGAGAAGGTCATTAGAGAGGGAATTAAGGGTACTGGTTGTGGAGAACCTTGCATGTCAGACTAAGACTGTGGGAACACTGTCAAAGTTTCTGGGCAAAGGGGGACCATGCAGACTGTACTGACACACCAGCTGACTGCAGAGGTGTCATAGATGGAAGGCTACTGTCTTG